TCTGTTCTGCCGTTGCCAGCGCCAATCCTGGTTGTAGAGCTTAAGAATGTGATTATCGTCCAGAGCATTCCAGTCATCGTCTACTTCTTGAGCTTCCGCATCGGCAAGCGGAATGCAATCTGCCTCGGACTCGGCCGCCTTTCCGCCTATGCCGTCGCCATGGTCGGGGCGCCTCGGCGTCTCACCATGACGCGGCCTGCGAGATGGGCGGCCCCTGGGGCATCTACGGCGGCGGCTATGAGGCGGGCATGGACGCGCGCGATAGGTCCTGCGAGCTCAAATAACACCCCGCCTGCATGCTCGCCTCTCATCTCTCTGTTTGCCGCGACGATATGATGCTTTGATGATGCGATCGTCGTCATCACAGGTAACGTGTTTCAAAGACCATCAGCGGCGAATATGTGCTCATGCAAAGCCCTGTTCGAGGTGGCATGCCATGTCGGCGTCGTCTATCTCCACGCGCGTGCCTTGTTCGCCACTAGCGAACGAGGCATGCCCTCGCCAGGAGGATGGGCGCCCTTTCCCGGCCCGACTCGCTGGAGCTCGCGCCGCACGTGGGCTCCGCAGTCCGAGCATAGCCCTTGCACTTTGAAGGGCCTGCCGCGCGCGATTGACGACGGCCTCGACCCGGACGGCCAGCGTCTGGGCGTTGCTTGCCGGATCCCCCTGGCGCACTCACTGCGGCGCGGGCCTCGGCGACTGCATCCTTTATCGACCTTATAGGGGCCGCCCCGCCCGATGGGAGCTTTTCCTGGCCCACCCCACATCATAATCGCGCCGGCGCGGGACTGCCCCCGCCCCGCAACAGCCCGCCCCTCCTCCGCGAGAGACGCCGTCGGACGCGGGGGCGAGGGGAACCTCTCCTGCCCGTGCCCAAGCTGTTCCAATATTTCGGCGTCGGCGGCAGGCGTGGCCCCCGCTTCGGACGCGCAGTCGCCGCCGCCAACGTCGCCCGAATCGCAGCGCACGCGTCCGCGCCAAGGCGCGCCCGCCCAGTCCGCGATGGGCGCGTCGAACTATTCCTCGATCCCGTCGCGCACGTGCTCGGCGCAGCGCTCGACCGACATGGCAGCCTCGGCGAAGCGAGCCATCAACAACCGGAAAGGGTGACCGATCTCGGGAAATCGACGCACTCAATAACATCCGCTTCGGATTGTTCTGAGCCTAGAAGCATGGACCCATCCCCCTTCCCCTCCCACCTCCCTTCGGACACTGCGCCTGGAAATCTGCATCGCTTCCGCAGGTATTGCATGTCATGCGTTTGCCGATGTTGTCCATTGGGTTGAACCTGCGCCCATTGCCCTTGCCTGCGGTGCGCCTATGAGCTCTGCCTCTGCCCTTACCTCCGAGAAGCAGGCCCTCAAAGTCACATCTTGCCAATTGAGCTAAGAACGCGGCTATGCCTTTGCCATGCAGTCTTCGGGTGCGCCCGCCACCTTTGCAGCGGCTTTTGCCCTTGCAGGAAAAAAACACGCTACGTACAGCTCACAGAAATGTTCTGACTGGTTTCTTCATATGTCGCCTCCACCTTCTTTTGGCATGATGATATCTACAAGTACTGCGCGGCTGCATCATCACCAGCGGGTGGATCTGACCAGTCGATATTCTTCGCGCCAGCGAAGGAGACCGCAGCGGCATCCGTGCCGGGATCGAAGACGTCGCCATCTCGCTGGCTTCGGGAGCCCCAGAGGGTGGTCGCGTCAGGTGGTGTATAGCTGGTGACCGATGGCCAGCCGATAATAGAGCCAGAAGCCTGTGCGTTGTTGGCTTCGTAGCCTGGAAGCGTCGTAGATTCAGTAGGCTCTCCGTCGTTCAGAATGCGATTCCGCATGGCTGCCGGTGTTGCGCTTATTTCGGCATGGCGCTGCGTCCGCTGAAGATGCTCCCGATGTTTCCTGGGGAACGCTCAGCCATGTGTCCATGGCTGCGCAATCGCTCCAGGAATTGGTCGTATTGCTGTTGAGTAAAGGGCATCTGGTGGTTCAGCGGTTGCAGCAGCTGCGCTGGTCGAGAGGTACCAACTCCTAAGGCACGAAATAAGATCAGCACAAAGATCTGGAAGTTGGGAACGTCGAGGCCCGCTGAGTCCGCTTGCAGCCTGGCCATCACGAATCGGGCCAGTACTGAGTCGATGCGTTCGCCCCTTTCGGCCCTGAAGTCGATGAGGGCTGTCCCCGAGGTGAGCTGTCGCTCATCCTCAAGGTTTTCGAAGTTGGTGTTTCGTGGGTACACGATGTACGTGGCCACGTCGGTGCGTCTACCCTGTAAGGTGACATCATAGTTGATGATGGTGGGCGGTGCCCTCATAGCTAGTGTTCTAGCTAGGCCACCCAGGCCACGCTGTAATGCCGCGGCCTGTTGGGGTGGAGTCATACTTCCGCTCGCGACGTTGAGCCATGCGTGTAATTCACGAACAAAGTCGCGGACCCCGAATGCGTGTTTCATCCAGTCCTCTTCCTCGCACGCATGCCCCGGCAAGGCCTAGGCACGTCCATGTTATTCCAAAGATACCAGCTTGACGTAGTGCATGGTCATGCTGTAGCTGATGATGACAGGTTTTGTGTCATAGGTGTTTGTCGCGTCGGTAGGGTCGCGATTGGGTGTCTGGTTTGCCGGGGCCGTCAGCTTGCGGATGCGAGTAGGTGCTTGCTTTGTGCGTGGAGTGTGGCCACGCGATGGGGGATGGAGGTATAGGACTGTAGGTTACCAGTTGGTTGAAGAGCATTGGGACGTGTAGTGGCTGATAGACGGCGCAGTCGGGTAATCCACTGCGCCGTCGTAAGTTGTTATGCACATAACACCTGATGTAAGAGCCAGCCACGTGAGGGTGAGGCCAGCTCCACTACCACGTGAAGAATAAAGGTAGGGGCTTGACCATGAAGTAATAAGCTGAAAACCCTACTCTTAGGAAAACGTCGGCGATGGATCGAGGCATAAAATAATCCACCCATTGATGGCAAGCAAGATGAGAGACAAGAGACAAGCCATGAGAGGTCGAAGTGGATCATTGATAGACGTGGCCTTTGTCTGAAACAATGAACCGGATAGAGTCACACCGTTGTGCAACTCGCGAATAGGGCTGCGCAACCTTGAGCCAAGACTGCGGCGGATATAGCGTTCGCTACACAGCCCCACCTTGAACCTGTTTAAGAGTCCTCCTCCTCCTCCTCCATCCTCCTCGGCTGCGCCTCGGCTCCCCCAACCGCCTGCTTACCGTCCGACCTCCGTCGGCGCCCGCCGCGCCTCGCCGCGACCCGTGGCGCCCGGAGCGGCCAGAGTAGTCCTGCCCCTTCTCCTCATCGTTCCCCTCCTCCTGCTCTCTCTGATCATGCTCCTGCTGCTCTTCCTCCACTCCCTCTTCGTCTGTTGTTCCTCCTCGGTCTCTTCCATCTTCTCGTCCTCCTCCCCCTCCTTCCCCTCTTCCTGACACTGGTCCTCCTTGTCCCACTCCTCCTCTATTCCTCTTCCGTCTCAGCCACCGCGCTTGCGCGACAACGGAGTGCCAGAATGCTTGCGAAGCGCCTGGTGGTAGCTCCGTACCCTCACTCCCAGTGCCGCCCCGCCCTCTTTGGGCGCACGCAGACCCAGAGAATAATCCACCTGAAATGGAATCCAACTTGATGCTGTGTCTGCTGGACGCCTGTTAGGTGGTGGACTGTGGGCGTGATACGACCATGCATTGGTGACAGGAACCTTGCAGCGCGTTTGCACAAGGGGCAAGGGTGAGTCCTCAGCCCTGCTGTTGCCTCGCTACGAGGATCTGTAGGTTGTGAAACTCCTGAGCCCTGCATCCGAGAAGCCACCTAAAGACACTGGCGCACCCCATAAGGGGCCCACGTCAACCAGATGTTCCCAAGAATGTAATGCTTGGTTTGAACCTGACTGCCGAAGAGGACCCAAGACGACGGCGACTGAGAACCTCAATAATGCGGTCACGCGACTTTCGCTCTGGCGTGACTCGTTCGTCCGATCTTCCCAGTAATCGTCCACATCGCTCATCTTGCCAATCCTCGCTCACATCGGACCAGCTCGTGCCTCGCAGAGACGAGCCATGTTATAATATGTCGTGCCATGCTAGGCTGGACCATCAAAATCGACCAAGTCCGCCAATACCGCTCACGAACTGAACAGGCCAAAACGACCAGAGGAGAAGGGGCCATCCATGTGTCCGCAGGTATACCGTATACCCTCGTGGACTCTGGACCCGTGGGTGGTACGTGTGTGGGAGCTTAGAATTTGAAAAGAGATCCACGTGACGGGAAGAAGTGCATAAGCGTGGAAGCGGAGGCAGGAACACAGGAGGAAGACGACGTCCTCGAGGGCGGGAGAGCGGAGACCGATGAGGAGCACAACAGCGGACGGGGGGGGAGGAGGGGAACGAGAAGAATAATCCGTTCGAGTCACCCTTTGCTCGCCCAGACGAACGTGATAAAATGAGCGCTAGTCGCGCGGCAGAGAGAAAAAAAAAAAAAAAAAAAAAACGCGACCAGATCGGAACGCACGACCCTGCACCCGGCCATATCGGATTCGACCGCACGGCCAGTGGGCGTGAGACCGCGAACAAAAGTGAGCGAGACACGAAAAGCTGGATGGGCTGGTGCGGGCACGCGGAGAACTCAGGGTAGCATGCGTGGCGGCAGCGGCAGTGGCAGGGCCAGGGTCAGTAACACTTGTCGCAGCATTACCAGTCATGGTTCTGACCGTCGTGGGCGTCATCGTGGAATGGGGAGCAGCAACAAGAACTAGGGGAAGAGAGCACGAGGACCAAGCAGAGGGGGTGTGGGAGAAAGAGCCGCAGGAGGAGCAGAGCCAGCAGAGCAGGAGAAGGAGGAGGAGGAGGAGGAGGAGGAGCAGTACGAGGAAGGACTGGCCGCATCGATAACACTGCTCCAAGCTGACTGGTCACACCGCTCAAAGTGTCCAAGCTGCGGCGCGAGCGCGTATCCCCGCGGGCAACCAGCGGTGGTGACTCAGAAACCGCAGCTGTGCAGCTGGCGCCGTCACCCCCACGCCGCTCTCAGAGTGGATGCGTGCTCTGGCGGCTCCTCCAGAGGGACGAAAGAAGGTGGGGTCAAAAGGAAGTCGCCCTAGGCAGCCCCTGGTAGAAAGAAATGTGAGCGTCGAGCTAGGTGCGTTCCCTAAACCCACCTTTCGGCTGGGACGAACTGGTGTGTTTCAAAGGGGGGCAGCGGATCAGCACACTCGGGTCGGGCGAAAAGGGGGATGGCAAACGGGGGGGGCGGTGAGAATCTGCTCGCGCAGCTGACTCTCCCGGCGCCTCCCGGCGCCGGGCGGCGCCCCTGCATCGAGGAATGGGCCCCTCGGCGGGGCCGAAACCAGCTGCATGCAGAAGACTTCGTTAAACCCCCCCCTTTCCCAATCCCCCCCCCTTTCGCCCAGCCCGAATTTTGTGTCCCGCCTCTGAGGCTGCTTGAGCGCATCGGCGCGGCTGCCTCCGCCGGGCCGATGCGCTCAAGCAGCAGGGGGAGGAGGAGGAGGAGGAGGAGGAGGAGGAGGAGGAGGAGGAGGAGGAGGAGGAGGAGGAGGAGGGGTGGGAGGAGGAGGAGGAGGAGGAGGAGGAGGAGGAGGAGAAGGAGGAGGAGGAGGAGGAGCAGGAGGAGGAGGAGGAGCAGGAGGAGGAGGAGGAGGAGAAGGGCCCGACACACGCGGCCGATCTCCCGGGCGCCTCCCCGCGCCCGAGACGCCAGACGTGTAGAGGAGGGCGCCCGGCGGCGGGGGCCGAAAGCAGCGGCACGCAGCAGATGGCGCACGTCGCACCCCGGCTCGACCTACCCCCCCTTGCCTTGAAGAAGACGAAGAAGACGAAGAAGACGAAGAAGACGAAGAAGAAGAAGGAGAAGGAGAAGAAGGGTAAGAAGAAGAAGAAAAAGTAGAAGAAGGGTAAGAAGAAGAAGAAGACGAAGACGAAGGGTAAGAAGATGAAGAAGAATAAGAAGACGAAGAAGAAGACGAAGAAGACGAAGAAGACGAAGAAGAAGAAGAAGAACGGCGTGAGCTTTCGGAACTCCGAGCAGATTTCTTGGATCGGCGCTGGAATCCCCTCCCTGGCGCGCGAAGCTGGAGAAGAAGGGTAAGAAGAAGAAGAAAAAGTAGAAGAAGGGTAAGAAGAAGAAGAAGACGAAGACGAAGGGTAAGAAGATGAAGAAGAATAAGAAGACGAAGAAGAAGACGAAGAAGACGAAGAAGACGAAGAAGAAGAAGAACGGCGTGAGCTTTCGGAACTCCGAGCAGATTTCTTGGATCGGCGCTGGAATCCCCTCCCTGGCGCGCGAAGCGCGCCAGGGGGGCCCAGCGCAGATCCAAGAAACCCGCGCGGAGCTCCGACAGTGCATGCTTATGCCATGCATGTTTCTTACAACTTTCGCCCGACACGATGTGAGCCCCCGAGACCTGCTCCGTGAACTGCCTCTTCGTGACGCCGTCCGGGCCGGAGGGCGACGTCGCAGCCATGCACTCGCGGGTGGGCTCCTCTATCGAGGCCAAGTGGCCCTCGGTGCCGAGGATGCCCCCGATCCTGGAGGGCAAAACATCTGCACAAGCAGAAGCTTTCGGAGGTCCGCGTGGATTTCTCGAATCCACGCTGGCCCCCCTCCCTGGCGCGCGGAGCGCGCCAGGGGCGGCGCTGGGGCGCCGCCCAGGGGCCCCAGCGCCGATCCGAGAAATCCGCGCGGGCCTTCGAAAGCTGCTGTGTGCGGGGGGGGGGGGGGCGGTTCCTCTGCCGTGCAGTCCTCGAGTAGCCCATGCGGCCCATGCCCCTCATGTCCAGGTTCAGGGCCTGGTGCGACGCCTGCGAGACGGTCAGCACGGCGGGGTTGCCCCCCTCACCCACGGAGAGCTCGAGGCTCTGGGCCTCCAGTCGCTGGCCGTACTGCTCCCGCCACACGAAGCGGATGCTCAGCCGGCCCACGACCGCGACCAGCCCACGAGACTCGTGGCGCGTGAAGGACCGCCAGGGAGAACTCCCCAGCTGCAGCGAGAAGTTCGTCGCAGCCCTGCCCCCGACCCAGTTGGAGCCGCTGACGTTGCGCGTGTGGGGGCGGATGCGCACAACCTCGTTGTCGAGCCAGGAGCCACTCAGCGCAAGGTGCTTGACAAACAGCCCGCACGGCCGCACGCCATCGGTATCCAAGTCAGCGCTCACCTCGAGCTCGACCGGCTCTGATTCGCTGGGAGGCACATGGACCAGGGTGTACTTTGAGGGCTTTCGAACGTCGTAGCATTCGCCGTTCGAAGAACATACGTGCGGGTCGTCCCGCATGCTCGCATGGTCGATGCTCGTCGTCGACGTGCTGCCTTCCAGCAGTGTGAGCGTTGAGCCAGCGGGGTACCCGAACTGCGTGGGCGATACCAGCATGATCGTCCCAAAGCCTGCAATGCAAACCACCTCGGAAGTGCCACCGCCCTCGAGTACAAAACAGTCGCCTTCGGAAACAATCGCTAATGCCCAAGCTGGAATTTCGATTGACGTCGCCCCAGCCAAAATGGGAGTGAGCAGCGGAATAACAAGCATGGTAGGCGCAGGCGTGAGCGTCGGAGCCGAAGTCGGCGCCGCAGTGGGAGCCGAAGTGGGCGCCCAGGTAGATGGTGTAGGAGCCATGGTCGGAGACGGAATGGGAGCCTGAGTGGGCGCTCCAGTCGGAGAAGGAGTGAGAGTGCGCTCCCCGGTTGGCGCTGGAGTGTGCGACGGGTCTGAGAGGCCACTGGTTGGCGCTGGCGTGTCCGCCGGGTCTGAGAAGCCACTAGTTGGCGCTGGCGTGAACACTGGCGGAGGTTCTGGCGTGGGCGCTGGCGTGGACGCTGGTGTTGGCTGCTCAGTCGGCATTCCACCACCCGGGACCTCTCCAGGGCCGAAATTCGCCCCCAGTGTGAGGGAAAGGTGAAGTAGGAGCAAGAGGAGGAGGGAGGAGGGAGGAGGAGGAGGAGGAGGAGGAGAAGGAGGAGGAGGGGGGAGGAGGAGGAGGAGGAGTAGGAGGAGGCGGAGCGTACCAAACGGAGGATGAGGAGGAGGAGGAGGCGGAGCATACCCAACTGAGGAGGAGGAGGAGGCGGAGGAGGAGGAGGAGGAACAGCAGCATCCGCAGGGAGAATGTCACAAGTCACAGTGGCTTCCGCTGCCCCGACCTCTGCCGTGGGCGCCGAAGTGGGCACCGGCGTGGTGGGCGCCGGGGCATGCGTCGGAGCCGAGGACGGCGCCGCGGTGGGAGCCGCAGTGGGCGCCCCTGACGGAGGTGCTGGCGCAGGCACAGGTGGGCCGCGGACCTCCCGAGGGCCGCCGCATCCCACTCTGAGTGTGAGGCTCGGCCCCAACGGGAAGGGAAAGGAGGAGGCAGGATCAGTCAGCATCACCTGAGGCAATCAAGTGGAATCGGGACGCGCGTCGGATCGGGCCGCATCGGCACGGAGTCAATAGAGGATCGGATCGGCTGCGCCAAGATGCACAACACCGCCGCGCAACATCGGGCCGCGTCGGGTCGCCAGAATAACGGAACCGAGCCGGATCGGGCCGCTCGGAATCGACATCGACTCGAATCGATCAGATCGAAGTAGGCCCTGACGGCAAGTGGAGAGAGGAGAAGGGACAATGTCACGCTCACTGTGGCTCATAAGCATCGACAAGCCTATCCTCATCCCCACGAGGAAAGCCTTTGGCCCCGATGGCCGACCGACCCCCCAAAGGTGGGAAGATGTGCTGTCTCTATCGGGTTACGTGGCATGGATCCCCATATCTGGGGAGTCTGCTTGAGCGGGGATGGGGACATGCTTGACAATGCTGAGGTTTCCCTGCCGTGACCTCTGCGACGGTCGGGGACGGAGTAGGAGTCAGGGTAGGAGCCTGAGCGGGTGCCCCCGTCGGAGATGTGGTGGACGCTGTGGGTGCAGGTGTTGGTTGCTGCGTCGGACGCAACAGAATATCTGGCGGCATGCCACCACCTGGAACCTCGGAAGGGCCGTCAAATCCAAGGTGGTGCTAAGATGCGGCCCACGGGAGGGACGACGAAGCGTAGAGGGCGAGGAGGACACAGGAGGAGGCCAAATCTGCCGCTCCAAAGTGTGAGCAGGAGCTTTAGCTTTGGCCCTGTTCTTTTGGGGACGGGGGGCAGGGTGGTTCTGCCCAGGTGCGGGGGGAGGAAGGGGGAGTCCACTCAAGTCCTGGGGGTTACCCGATCGCTTAAAGAAAACGGTGGATCCGCGCTCTCAGGGCGAAAATCATCCGTCCCGAGTCTTTCGGGGGAACATCGGATTTGGACGCCCGAAATGGGCACGGAAGAAATGGGCACAATGCCCAACAACGAATGTTGTCCCAAACCAACAGCGGCCGCTGTTGGGAAGGCGGCCTCTTGTCTCAAGTGGACACGGGCCGCGGCGGCGCGGACAGCGAGTCCTGCTCAAAATGAGCGGGAACTGCTGCTGGGCATTGTACCCCTTGTTTCCGTACCCAGCTCGTTCGTGCTGGTCGGAAGTCTGCAAACCAGGCGAGGGCGGGCACCACGAGGGGGGCCAGGGGCCGCCAGCTGCTCCTGAGGAAGAGGGCAAAGACCCCTCGCGCCTCCCCCGGAACCGCCCTGAGCGCCCAAACGTATTGGCATCTACTATTCGTATCCATCATATGTCCATAGGGATGGGTGCAGAATCACAAGACCACGTTCAAGCCAAGCGACAAAACAAAAAACGATCCCCGATCCTCGGGGAGAGCTGGCACTCTGCCTACCGAGAACCCCGACGTCGCACATTTGCTCGCAATGTGAAAAGGCCTCGACCCCTTCCACGGGGCCTGCTCTCCGTCCCGAGCCGACCTCTGACACTCCCGGGGCCTGGGCCCCCAGAAGCCGAAAGTGGACGGGCCACCCCGCCGATTTTTCTCGGCGGCGCGAGCCCACGCCTCCGATGGATCCACGTACGTGTGTCAATCCGCGGGCCCCAGGGTCGGGAGCGGCCAAGAGGGGGGTGTCCAAGAGGGGGGGGGTGCAAATCATGACCGGCGGCACGTGCGCGGCCCAGCGGGGGGGGCCTGGGACGTAATAAAAGAAGAAGAGGCGCCATGAAATCAGAGGAAAAATCTTGGCCCGCGCCATGAAATCCACCCCCCCCCTTAGCCATCACCCCCCTCTTTTCCGCTCCCGACAGGGGTCTCGACACCCCTGCCCCCCGGGGCATGTCTTCGTCCTGGCTTCGCCAGAGGACCCGGCACGGCCCGCCGAGGAGCAGAGCGCCGGCACCCAAGGCAACAACGTCCGGGAGGGGGCCTGTGCCCCGTGGCACTCCCGAGCCGGATGCTGCCAGAGGTGCCCATGGCCCAGGGTGCCCTCGGGACTTACGAGGAGGAGGGGGAGGAGGAGGAGGAGGAGGAGGAGGAGGAGGAGGAGGAGGAGGAGGAGGAGGAGGGGGAAAACCCCCCCAGGAGCAGGAGGAGGAAGAGGTCTTGGGCCAGGGGCGCCTGAGCAACCACCGACGAAACGAAAACCCCTCGGTGAGTGGCCAAAGGGGGCCGCCGCCAAAGGGTCGCAGGTAGATTTCTCTCCCATTCAAAAAGATTTGAAATACGGCTCAACAAATTCAATTTCTGGTCCAAGAAATATGGATGGCCCCCTAGGCAACAGCGGACGAGCGAGCGTCAAGTCTGCGGGTGTCACTCGCATACCTGAACAAGTGGGGACAGCGGGACGGTAGGCTCAGAAACCGATCCTCCTGCGAGACTAGCACCACGGTGCGGAACAAGAACAACCCAAAAGGCACCTTGACAGCCACAGTGCTCAGCGCGATGACTAGGCACGGTACCTTCTGTCAGCAGCAGGAGCAGCAGCCATGCGGAAAGGCCTCCACAAGGGCGACCTCTCACAGCACAAGTGGATACTATGCTGAGAGGACTATGCGCCATGCAGCAGGCGCAAAACTGGTGGCAGTGCAAAGACTGACATAACATACACACAGGCACGAGTCAGCTGCACAAGACAAATCTCCACTGCAAGACCCGGCAGGGGCCAGGGAAAGGGGCTGCCTTGAAACGTGGTAGCCATCATAAAGCGCAGGACGACGCAGGGACACACCCAACGGGGCCATACTTGGGGCAACCCCAGAATGGACCAATTGCTCAGTGTCACCCAGCCGCCCGCAGGTGCCCGAGAACAAGAATGCCAATCAATGCCGCGTGGCAAATGATGCAAATAAGCGAGGCTCTGCCACCGTGGCAAAGCCTTGGCTGACAGGAGGGCATACTCTACACAGGAGCGCGGGCCACTGGCAGCAAACAGAACAGCTCGGACAAATTGCCGACCGCCACTCGAGCGCGCCAGGTGCGACACCCTAGCCAGAGCTCTCATCGTCGCCGCGGGCAGGCATGCACGACGGCGCAGCTCTGGAGGGGCCCACGGCGTCCGTCGGGCGAGGCACACCTTCGAGCACGCGCCCCGCGGAGCCGCGGGCAGCCGCACCGGGGCCCCCAGGGGGCCGAAGGACAGGAGGAGGGGGGCGCCTGCAGGGGGCCGGCAACGGAGGGCTCGATGCGGACCCCAGTCCTGGGGCGCAAACCTAGGATGGCAGCAGGCGCGCGCGCGTGGCCCAGGCATTCTCGTTCAGCGACGCGCCGCCACACTGCTGCTTCCAATTCTCGCAGTGTCCCTCGGGCAGGACCAGGTGGGCAGCGCAGGCTCGGCAGATCACATCGCGATCCTGCCTCGTGGGCACATGGCCGAACGCCTCAAAAACTCCCCACCCAGACTGCCCGCCCCCATCTTGGCCCGCGGACCCCGCGGCCCCATGGGATCCACGCGCCCCCAGGACACTCACAACAGAGCAGTCATCGAGGGGTGCAGGCTGGGCGGGGAAGGGTGCTGCTTCAGGATGCAGCTGAAAGAACTGGTCAGTACTCCACTCCTGAACATGCGTGGGCAGGCACATCCTGCTGGCTCCGCTGAGCAACCACTTGAGGGCCATGTCGGCAGTGGCAGACGTTGCGGGCGCGGCACCTCCACTCCGACCAAAATCCCAAATGGCGCCAGGCTGTTGATATCCGTCGCATCTTCGAGCGCGCGGCGAGCCGTCACCCGCCCGAAAGACGGAGGCGCGCTGCTGGGATGGCGAAACCGACAGATCGGCACGGGGGCTCTGGGCGCCGGCGAGGTCGGAGTGTCATGACCGCACCCCCGCGACAAGAGTCGCCCCCCCGCGACAAGAATCCAACCACTGGGGGGCAGCTTTGACACCGCGCGAGCCAGCAAAAAACCCACGGCACGAGGCGCCGACCGGCGCCCATGCAGCGGGCCACGCGCGGCTCCAGACGGGGAACGGGAACACCGAGTCGGAAACCTCGACGACGGCCCAGCCACACCTTCGGAGCTCGGGGCTCGCGCTCGCGAGCCCCGATCCGCGGCGCAGAGCCGACCCCCCCCCGCGGCGGGCGGGTGGCCCCCCCGGAGGGGCACCGAGCGAGCGGAAGCCCGAGTCGCATACTAAACAGGGGCGATGCGGGATGGCGCAGGCCATCTCCAGCGCGCCCCCGCTAGGCTCGCCGAGACCAATGTCCCCGAGGCCTCGCAAATACCCCCCGCGCACCAAGAGCTCGGGCTCCAAAGGCGCCGGGCTGGGGTCCCCCGAGGGCCTCGGGGGGACATCGCAATCGGAAAACGGGTGCCCATGAGTCCCTGGGGCCCCAGATAGAGGAATGACAACGATTTTTTACAACGGGCTATATATATATATGTGATTTTAAAAAAACTCACAGGCTACAGACTCACGGAATCCAGCCATCTTCTTCCAGGCGGGACGGCATGGGGCAGACCCCGAGTGACATCTGGCACGGCCCATGCGAATGGGGCCCTCGATGGCCAGGATGGCATTCCGCAGAGCACGACGCCATGCCACCTTCAGCGCATTGCGATCGCCTGGCGCACGCATCAAGATCCTCGTCATCTGCCAACGCCCAATGCCCTCTCGCAGTAGCGCCTTGGGCCCAGATGGCGGCGCGACGAGCCAATCCACATCGGCGCCGATGTCCGTCGAGAGCAGGCGGGCAACCTTCATCTCCCAGCCGATGCGATGTAGGGCCAGAACAACCGCCGGCACTGGTCGATGATACCACGACCAACTCCAGCCCCCCCACATACATGGCATGACACTCATAAACGCACGCTCACCAACCAAGGGCACAGCAAGACTACGGAGCTTGGCGAGAGCTGTTGAGCCGATCCCGCTGGCGCCCGCACCACGCGCAGCAGCCGGGAATAGACCGGCGCGCCAATGCGCTCGCGCCCTGCCATGCGAAGCACGACCAAGGGCCTTCACGCGGGACTTGCGCGCCAGCAAAACAGCCATACGCATGCGCCCTTGCAGTCCACGATGTCTGCCGCCTGCCGGCTCGCGCCTGGGATTGCGCGCGCGGCTAGGAACTTTGAGCTCGAAGTGGGGCGCTTCGCCCACTGCGAACTGGCAACGCACCCTGACTTATCAACTTGAACGATAAGGCCGAGCGGGGCAAATTTGGCCGGCGAACCATTCGGCTGCCCGAAACGACGAGGCAGCCCGACACAAATTTCCACCAGTCCACTGGAAGCCCACGTCGTCCACGAGCGCGCGGGGCACGACATCGGAAAACCTCCTCCTCGCGCTGGCGAGGACTTTGAATAGCAACAAGAACCATGGCCCCTGCGCGACTGCAGCCCGCCAAGACGCCTCGGCGCGATCGGAGGGGGCGACGCGGACAGAGAGCCATGCGCCCCCATCTCCCGCGGCGCTCGGCACGTCGAAAGCAAGTCGAACTGGCGAGCGTGGTCGAGTAACGCATGGAGCCGACTCGTCTCGAAACAGTTGTGCATATCGCGGACGAGCCAGGACTCCTGACTAACTCCGAGGGACCCACGTCGGGTGGACGTTGGAGCCCGCACCTGAAAGCATCAACAAAACCTCTGCGTTGACCGATGGACGGCGACGAGGACCCCTTTTCATCACCTGCAGCATGGGCGGGCCTGCAAATGCAGAAGCTGGGAAAAGAGAGCGGCTGGCCAGCCGTTTCCGACCTGAAATTTCGCCATGGGCTGCGGGGCCCTGGCAGGGCACTGCACGCACGAGCGTAAATATAATCAATGTCTGGGAGATCCCCCAACGCAATTAGCGCCCCCCCGCCCCACACAGCGCCCCTCCTGGAATTCTAGCTAGAGGACTGGTGCGCGGGGTCGCGGGAGCCTGGGATAGTCCCCACTTGAAGACACGATATAACTGAAGCGGAGCACCGCAAAATCTGGACATGCAAAACAACAACAGCCCGCACAATTGCGCACACGTCCCGCAAAGTCCCGAACCCCGCATCGCGTCGTCGCGAAGCCTTCGGAGCGCCGATGAAGGCTCGCCGTCGGCGCTCTCAGCATCATTTCCGACATTGGCCCGTCATCTGTGTTGTTCCAGTGCCGTGGGCCCTGGCTCAAGCGCACCCTGCCACCACTGCGCCTTCTCTGCTCGCCAGGATGGTGTCTGCGCTTGGCCAGGCGACGCCGATCCTCGTCTCCCTCCTGCGCACGCTGGCGGCGGCGTGCGCGTGCGCCGTGGAGATCAGCCAGGCGGGCCAGGACTTCTGACTGACGTCCAGGGGCTCACGTCCAGTGGATGCTGAGGCCCGCACCTGAAAGCATCAACGAAACCTCTGCGTTGACCGAGGGACGACGACTAGGACCCCTTTCACCACCTGCAGCCTGGGCCTGTGAATGCCAAAGCTGGGAAAAGAGAGCGGCTGGCCAGCCGTTTCCGACCTGAAATTTCGACATGGGCTGCGGGGCCCGGGCAGGGCACTGCGCCCGCGAGCGCAAATAGAATCCATGTCTGGGAGATCTCCCAATGCAATCAACGCTTGCGTCATGGACATGGAAATGGTCATGTGCATGGCCACGTCTTCTCATCACCTGCATCATGCGTATGTATATTTACAGCTGGAAGAGGGGAGCAGCTGTAGTAGCACTACGGATGCTACACACATGCATCCAGTAATGCGAAACCAAACAACAACAACCACAACCACAACCACAACAACGACAACAACAACAACAACAACAACAACAACAACAACAACAACAACAACAACAACAACAACAACAATAACAATACAACCACTGAACACAAATGCTAAACCCAAAACGCGAGGCCACGGGAGGTCATGACACCCGACGGACTCCAGATCGGGCAATCGACAAAACAAAACATGAAAGGCTACGGAAGGCCACGGCCCCCGACATATTCAGGTCGATCAATATACATACTAGTTCCTTCGAGAAAACTTGTATCTCATTCTTACAAGCAAATTGTTCAGGGGAAAAACTGTATCAGCATAAACTGTGGGAATTATGCGTGGAGTTCTTGGATCGGCGCTGGAGCCCCTCGGCAACGACTCTGGCGCTACCCCTGGCGCGCTCCGCGCACCACGCGAGGGGTCCGGTGCCGATCCAAGAAATTCGCGCAGAACTCCAAAAGTGTACGCTTATGGAGTTATTAAGTCATGCTGAAATAGAAATCGCGATACATCCCCTGCAAAACAAACGAAAGCCCCGATCCGAACCCAAGGAGACGAAGAGGAGGCTCAACCTAGCCACACATTGCAATGATTCTCCTTGCGACCTCCTCGCCCATCGTGCCCAGGCCGATCCTGGACCCAGGATTGTTGTAAACGCTTGCCTGGTCAAACTCGGAGGGCGTGTACACAAATCCTGGGCAGACTTGGCCTGGCCAGGACCAGTTGGGCGCCCGAGTTATCCGGGGTAACTCGGGCCCAGGGTAACTCGGGTTTGGATTCCCGAAAAACGAACCCGAGTTAGCCCTGACCCGAATTATCCCTGATGATCTGGGGCTCTGGACGCCCGAATTATCCGGGGTAAGTCGGGTCCGGGGTAAGTCGGGTTCGGAATCCCGAAAAACGAACCCGAGTTAGCCCTGACCCGAGCTGACCCTGATGATTCGGGGCTCTGAACCAGCGAGATGGATAGTTGACGCCACAGCTTCCTTCGCGCCCTATTACGCCCTGCTCAGGCGGAACAGGCCGCAGGGCCGTTACAATCTCGCAGCAACTGTTGTTTTCTTTGCCCGGGAGGCGCCGGCAGCTGAGTTGGAGCCGGAGTGGGCGTCCCAGAAGATGCGGTGGGCGGCGGCCCGGTCGGAGATGAAGTGGGAGCCTAGAACAACAAGACATCGGAATAAGCATACACTTTCAGAAGTCCGTGCAAATCGCTTGGGTCGGCGCTGGACCCGCTCCACACACACACACACACACACACACACACACCTGTCCCTTGCGCGCGGAGCGCGCCGGGGGGCGGCACCGAAGGCGACGACAAGGGTGTGGGGAGGGGGCCAGCGCCGACCTAAGAACTCCGCGCCGTCCCCCAGAAGTTTATGCGTGTGCAGATTTGGTTCCTCGAGGGCCAGAGTGGGCGCCCCAAAAACAGTCGGACACGGAGTAGGAGCTGCAGTAACTGCGCCATGCGGGGGCGGAGTGGGAGCCGGTGTGCTCGCCCCGGTCGGAGACGGCGTGCCTTCCAGCAGCGTAAGGGTTGAGCCAGCGGGGTACGCAAACTGCGTGGGCGACACCAGCAAGATCGACCCAAAGCCTGCGATGCAAACCATCTCGGAGTTGCCACCGCCCTCGAGCAGAAAACAATCGCCTTCGGAAAGGCCTGATAAGGCCTCAGCTGAAATGTCTATTGACGTTGCCCCTGCCTCAATTGGAGTGGCCAGCGTGCCAACAAGCATAGTAGGTGCTGGCGTCTGTGTCGGATCCAAAGACGGCGCCGGGGTGGGAGTCGAAGTGGGCTCCCCAGGAGATGGGCCAGGTGCCTCGGTCGGAGACGGAGTAGGAGCCAGGGTAGGAGACGGAGTGGGCGCACCAGTGGGCGCTGGCGTGGGCACTGGCGTAGGTGCTGGAGTAGGCGTTAGTGTAGGCCCGGGTGTTGGTTGCTTTGTTGGCACCAGCAAAATATCTGGCGGCATGTTACCACCTTGAACCTCGTAAGGGTCCTCAAACCAACATTACCAGTGCGATGTGACCCCCATGGGATAGGGATGAAGTGGAGAGGAAGAGGGAGAGGAGGGGGGGGGAAAGGAGACCGAATCCATCACAAACACTATAGTTTTCGCTGCCCTGACCTCTGCCGTGGGCGCGGACGTTGGAGCCGGTGCTGGTGCTGAAGTAGCCGACACGTCAGAGACCAGCCCCAGCGTGGGCCCTGGGGTAGGCGCAGCGCTAGGTGCGGGCGTTGGCATGGCATGGGGCACCAAGACACCACTGTCGACCACCACATCATCCGGCGGCGTGCCGCCAATTGGATACGTTGGAGCGGATGTGGGTGCGGGCGTGGGCGGGGCCGCGCGCATGACGTCCCCGCAGAACACGAACCAAAGCTTGCCCATGCCGTTGCATCGTGTGGAAGGCGGCGAGGCGCAGAACTCCCAGTGATTATGGCCCCTGTTGTCGCTGCGGCAAATACCGATGGTAAGGTCATCATTCGCGGAGGCGCACACAACCTGGTGCTCGACTCTCGGATTTCTGTTCCACACCACCTTCTCGTAGTGCTCCCAGACATCGCCACACTGCGTAAACTCATCCCCAGGGGGGTCAAGCTTCCTGGCCTGCATGGATGAGGCTAGCTTCAGGTGCTTCAAGTGCTCCTCATGATCCGCGATCGTGCCTGCACGGTGGAGGCGTTTGGGATGCTTGCCTGTTGCCTGGTGGACTTGTTTACCATAGTTCCCCCTAAACAGCGAATGGCGCAAGCAATCCGAATTGCATCTGAGAGTCGCGAATGGAAAAACAGATTGTGAAACATCTACCGAATAATGCCGTGTCGTGTCGTGCCGTCCCGTGCCCGCGTGCCGTGCCGCGCCTGGATCCCAGATGCGAGGATGTGCCGTGCCGCACCCGCGCGCCGTGACGCGTGTGCCGTACCTGAGCTGTAACGCCTTGCAATTGCAAAATATGCCGTGCCGTGCCGTGCCGCGCCCAGATTCTACAGTAAAACGTGCCAGGCTGGGCCTAGTTCTTGTAAGGCACAAGCAAGGCCGTGCCGGGCCGAGGTTCTAGAATGCGAGAACTGTGCCGTGGCGTGCCCGCGCGCCCTGCCGTGCCCAAGTTCCAGCACGCGAGCAAATGAACGTGCCGTGCCCTGCCCGCGTGCCGCAGTGCCTCGCAGTGCCTCGCAATGGGTGCTGGAATGCAAGAAGTGCGCGGTGCCGTGCCGCGCCCAGCTCGAGGCTGCAAACAAGCGGGCCGTGCCGTGGCGCGCCCACGCGTCGTGCTGTGCCCGACAAGGCCGAGGTTCTGGACTGACAACAGGGTCGGGCCGGGCCCGCGCGCCGTGCGGCGCCGAAGTTCTAGGGTGCGAGAAGTGTGCCGTGCCATGCCGTGACGTGCCAGCGTGCCGTGCCGTGCCGTGCCTGAGCTCCAGGATGCGAGAAAGGCGTCGTGCCACGCCGTGCCGTGCCGCGCCCGCGCGACCTGCCGTGCCGTGCCGTGGTCGGCTTCATGCGGCACCGATCACCCACCACAAGCAGGCCCTCTTCTGATCTTGACTCAACATGTGTGTTCTCGCTCTTCGTGGCCGACCCCCTACTCGGCACGCGTGAGGTCGGAAATCGTCCCCCCTGGTGTTGCTCACCGACGCCCTTTTCGGCCTCCAGGCGGCTCAAAGACCGCCCCGAAACGTCAAGACCAACCCTCCCAGGCTCCAAGGTCTGAGTCCCCACGTGGCCCCAGGAAACCTCCCAGAGGCGCTCAAACAGGCCTCCGGCGAGGCCCCGAGAGGCAAAGCGCAATGATGATTTGGAATGCCAGTGTGGTTTGCTTCCGATGCTTTTCGTCTGCGGATCGCCTCGGGAAGGTTTCAAAGAGCCCCGATCAATCCCCGAGGCGGCCGACTCAACAGCCCCAAGGGGGCCCCCAGGCGGCCCCAGGAATGCCCGAGAACCCCTCAAGACGACGGAGGAGGGCTCCAAGACGGCCCCAAGATCCGCCCAGGCGTCCCCAAAGATAGTTCGACTGAACCTCCTCGGGGGATCTCAATGGAACCATCGCGCCCAAGACGGCCTCGAGAACTCCGACGGGCCCCAGCGGGTCCCCAAGATTCCCCAAATAAGCCCCCAAGAGGCCTTCAAGAGGGAAGATGGGGGAAGGGGGAGGTGGGGGTGGGGGGGAAAGAGGATGCAGGATGGAAGAAGAAGAGAACGAGACTGCGGACAAGGAGGGGGCGTTCAAGATCCGCAGCAGTCCACACAGGGCACTGAACTGGGGAGCGGGCTGTAACACTAACCTCCTTCCTGCTGCGCTACTGCGCTGGCACGGTGACAGGACTTGCCCTACGGCAGCCGGATAATTCTCGTCGTTGAGGGGATCCAGAACGGACTGCCTGCTCAGGGTGTCCTCGCTCCCGTCGAGCCGCAACTGCAGGAGGCGCGAATCCAGGATGCTGGCGCGGCCCGAGCTGTCCCCACCCGCCGACAGCTGCGAGAGTGTGGATTGTACGCATGCAACAGCGAAGGATGCTGGAGGAAGAGAGAACCGCGTGAGCGTACACTTTCGGAGGTCAGCGCGGATTACTTGGATCGGCGCTGGGCCCTCTTGGCGGCGCATCCAGCGCTGCCCCTGGCGCGCTCCGCGCGCCAGGGAGGGGGGTCCAGCGCCGATGCGGTTCGAGCGAAAATCCGAGCGGACGTTCGAAAGTTTATGCATCTGCCAGTTGTTTTCCTCGGGATACGCCTCGCATGCCCATCATAAGGGAATGAAGTGTAGATCGTTGTGTCACCCGATGGGCCTAAGACCATCGAGCGGTATGGAGCCACGGCGGCCTTGAGCCCACATGGCTGCAGGGGAGAGGAAGCCGATGCCAGGCCAGTACGGGGACGACAGGGGCGCTGAACTTCAAGGAGGGCTACAACATACCACCAGGATCTTGACATCTGAATTCCAGTACAGGCTTAAAGCAGCCCAGATAGGTCCGTAGGCCTGGAGGGCTATTTCTTAGCACTCTACAAGGTCAGGGGAAAGGGGGCAGAACGCGAACCAAAGCAAAGCAAGTCTGCAACACGCACGGAGGGACGACCCAGGCTGGGCGGCGGCAGCGCTGGGTGGCACGCAAGAGCCTTTGACCTTGATCAAGCGCTGCTGGATGCGACCCTGGCCCACGGTAACCCACGCTTGTCTTGGGATGCCCAGATGGCCTCCACAGCACCCCCTCATCCTCCTCCACGTCTTCGCTCCCTCCTGCGTGCCTACCCCTCATAGTTCTGCATTGCCACCTCGCGTCTGTGTGCTCTGGCTCCCTCGTATCGCCCTCCACCTCTCCCCTCCCTCCCACCCCGAATGATGATAGAGATGATGATGATGATGATGATGATGATGATGATGATGATGATGATGATGATGATGATGATGATGATGATGATGCTGATGATCAAGATGATCAAGATGATGGTGATAGGATGGTTACGATGATGGTGATGATGACGACGACGATGATGATGATGACGACGGCAACGGCAAAGACGAAGACAACGATGGTGATGCTGAATATGATGCTGATGATGATGATGTTGGTGGTGATGGTGTTGGTGATGGTAATGTTGATGTTTACAGTATTGGTGATGATGGGGATGATGGTGATGCTGGTGATGATAGTGGTGATGGTAATGATAATGACAACGATGATGATGAGGATGCTGATGATGATGGCGATAGCAATGCTGATGATGATGCTGCTGATGATGATGTTGATGATGATGGTGGTGATGGCGTTGGTGATGGTGATGCCAATGCTGACGGTGTTGGTAATGATGGTGATGATGGTGATGCTGGCGATGATAGTGATGGTCATGGTGATGATGGTGATGATGACGATGCTAATTCTGTCGATGAAGATGATGCTGATGCTGACGATGGTGATGATGATGTCGATGGCGATGCTGCTGATGATGACGAAGATGATGACTGGGATGATGATGACGATGGTGATGAAGATGAGGATTTGTTGGTGATGATGATGGTGATGGTGATGGTGATGGTGATGTTGATGTTGCCGGTATTGGTGCTGCTGGTGATGATGGTGATGATGAATACGCTGGTGATGCTGATGATGGTGATGATGATGATAGCGATGATGATGATGATGATGATGATGATGATGATGATGACGATGATGAGAATGATGATGATGATGATGATGATGATGATAATGGTGATGATAATGATGATGATGAGGATGATGAATGTGATAGCGATAGTGATGATGATGATGGTGATGAGGATGACGATGGTGGTGATAATGATAGTGAAGGTTATGCTGGTGATGATTACAATTGTGCTGATGTTGATGATGATGACGGTGATCACGAGTACGATGATGGTGATGCTGATGACGACGGTGATGGTGATGATGGTGGTGTTGATCATAATGGTGATGAAGGAGGAGGACGGTGCTGATGATGATGATGATGATGATGATGATGATGATGATGATGATGATGGTGGTGGTAAACAGGGGGATCCCGCCGCAGAGAGAGGTCAGGGCACGGGCAAGGGGCACCCGACGACAGCGGCGCCTCCAGAGAGGAGGGCAGACCGCAGCGGTCGAGGGTGCATGGCAGCGACAGGCCAGGAAGCACCTCGTGCGCTCCCAGCAGGTCTGCTGGCAAGCGAGAGGGGCCAATCGGGAGAGAGGAGAGGCCCAGGTGGAGCACAAGCAGCACTGCCGGGAGGAGGACGAGGACCGAGGAGAACAGGGAGGGGGAGAACAAGGACCAGGAGGGGAGGAGGAGAAAGCAGCAAGAGGAAGAGAGTGAGAAGGAGGAGGAGGAGGAGGAGGAGGAGAAGGAGGAGGAGGAGGAGACCGAGGAGTCGGAGAACCACGGCAAGGAGGAGGGGAGGAATACCGAGGAGGAGGGAGGAAGTGAGGAGGAGGACCACGAGGAAAAGGAAGACGACGAGAAGGGGAAGCGGCAGGAGAAGGAGAGCGACGACGAGGAGACGCGGAGCAGACGAGGGGGAAACAGATAGACGAAAAGCCTGAGCGGAGACGGGCAGCGGCGGCCCTGCGAAGCAAAAAATCCTTGGGAAGAGAACGCCCCCTCAGAGGGCGAAGAGCGTGAGCAGGACGTCCAGGGGGTGCCAAAGGCGTCCCGGGCCCAGGGTGCCCCCGTCGTTCAGCTCCGTCTACGAGCCCCTGGGGCCCTCTGGGCCTCGCGAGGGGAGGGCCGCCGGGGCCTCCCTGGGCGAGCTGGGGCCATCTTGGGCCGGGGATACCTTTGGCAGCTCCCGGGATGTGAGCGAACGCGGCCCCGCCGGTGCCGCCGAGGATGCCGGAAGAAGAAACCGCGGCATGAGCACACACACTTTCGGAGGTCCGCGCGGACTTCTCGGGTCGGCGCCGGGACACCCTCCGCCTGCGCGCGGAGCGTGCCATGGGGGGCCGCCGCCAAGCCAGAAAAAAAGGTGCGCGGACATCCGCGAAAGTGGATGTGCATACCGTGTTTTGTTCTTCGAGATGTGCCAGATCATCATCTCCTGGAATCCCGCCGCGGGCTTGTCGCCAGGCTTGTCGAAAAGGGTCGGCTTGAGGGTGGTCCCGAGAAGCAGGCCACCGCAGCTCGCGATGATGATGACGGCGATGCCAGAGAGCATGCCGACCGTGGCAGCCTCCGGCGTGTTGCGCAGCGGGCCGAGGGACACGAAGGGCCCGATGATGAAGTAGCCTCGGAGCGGGCGAGAGGGAAGGATAGCAAAAGGGGGTTGGCAGATCCACTGCATGCAGCAGATTTCTCTGGCGCCTCCCAGAGGCACCAGTGTATCGAGGTAAGGCGCGGCGGGGCCGAAAGCAGCTGCATGGAGCAGATGTCGTACCCCTCCTTTCTGATCACCCCTTTCGTCCAACCCAGCAGCCGTGGGCCATGCCGATCTCCAGCCCGCGCTGCCACGGCTTCAGGCCCTGGCGGTAGAAGGCCAGGTTGTCCAGGAACTGCTGGCTGAAGGCGCTGTCCCGGACGGCGGTCTGGATCTGGTCGCCAGAGAAGCGCTCGGGGCCCTGGAAGTTGATCGTGAAGCCAGCGTCCCACCAGCCCGCCGGGCCCGGGATCTGCAGAGGAAGCTTGCCTGACATCATCAGCTGGAAGTCCTCCTCGGTAACGAAGGGGTCCTCGACCTCTCCGGCGTCAGCGGGGAGGCACTGGTTCTTGATGTAGGCGAAGTCGGAGAACCTCATCTTGGTGGCCTTGCCAGGCCCGTAGGTCTCCGAGAGCAGCTTGATGACGTAGAGCGGGCTCTCCTCCGAGGGGTCGTCCCACTCCTCCACTGGCGTGACCGCGAGGATCCTGTCCAGAGTGGGCTTGTCGACAAGGGAGCGCGGGATCCCCTCCAGGTACGCGGGACCAGTGATCGCCCCGCCCTTCTCCGCGACCTCGATCTCCTTGCCCTCAGCGCGCCGGGAGACGCGGGTCACCGACCTGGTCATCGCCGCGAACGCGACGCCGAAGGCAACGCCGAAGCCGAGGAGGCCGTTGGTGCCGAGAGACCCCTGGAGGGGGGCGCCGAGAGGCGCATCCGAGCCCGGCCGCACGACGGCGCGCCGCACCTCGGCAGAGCCGACCTGCTGCCTGTAGCCCTGGCCGACGGCGAAGCTGGTGGAGCCAAAATGCACGGCGGACACCGCAGCCAGGGTCACGACGGACACGGCAGAGAGCTCCCGGAATCCCATTGCGGCGGTGCCGTCCTGGCCTCCAGCGGGCGTACTTCACACAAGCCCGAGGTGCGCTCGCCGACGGAGCCGAAGCGGCCGTGCAGAATGACGACGAGGGGAAGACACTGGCGAGGTGAACGCGCTTGATCGCTTGGCCCAGGAGCGAATGTGGCTTTCGCTTCATAACTCGGGTCTCTGGCGGTCCTTCGGGACGATCCAGGCATCCCCGGAACGCTCTCGGCGAGGCGGCGGCGGGAAGACCTCTGGGAACCGACGAGACGTCAGAAAACACCGACCTTCCCCCCTGACCCTCCCTGAGGGGCAACGATAGGGGGGGACTGGCATGGGGGGGGGATGCATCGACCTGGATTCGGCGATGCATCGCCCATAGATCGGCGATAGGCCTACAATGGGGAATCCGCACCTTCCTGGGCAGGTTGGGGCTATAGGGCCCCTGTCGGTGATCAATATGCGATGGCGGGCCGATGCATCCCCCCCTGTGCCCATCCCCCCCTATCGTTGCCCCTGACCTGCTCCCCTGGACGCGCCTGTCCCGGGCCGCAGGCGGGCCTGCGGTCGAGCCTCGCGGCGAATGTCGGAGCGAGTCGCGGGCGCGTCGCGGGCGGGCCGCGGGCGGCCGGCGGGCCCGCGGTGGGCCCGGCGCCTGCGCGCGCTCGTGGGCCGGTCGCGGGCGGGCCGCCGACGAGCCGCGGCGGGAGGGCAGCAGCGCGGAGGGAGCCGCGGGCAAATGTACCAGCGCGCGTCCCAAGCGCGCCGCAGACGGTTCGCGGGCGAGCTCGGGAACGGGTCGCGGGCGGGCCGTGGACGGGTCGCCCGGTGAATCGTGGGCGAGTGCGCGGAGGAAGGCGACAACGAGGGAGCACTGCCGGCGGTCTGGGCCGCGTTGCCTGGAGCCGCCCGCCCATGGTCTCTGACGGAGTGTACGAGGTGGCCGCGGGCCCGACCGCTGAATCGGGAAGAGAAGCCGAGGCCGTCCACAACGGGGATGAGTGAACTCCACAGGGATGCTCGGGCGGGTGAAGAAGAGGGTCAGCCACAGGGCACCCGGCTCAGATGGACACCACAAGATGAACCATCGGACGATCGCCGTTGGACCCACCGTTGGACCTGGGCAAAGTGCCTCGCCGACCACGCTGTCGATTCAGGCCTATCCTCCCTCGCCCATCCCTCTCCTCCTCCCTCATCATTCTGCGGGCGTAGGGTTCGTGTCGGAAGGTCGCCTCGCAACCATGCTCTGCGATGGACCCGACCGATGGACGGGACCGAGAGCTGAAACGCCTCAAACACATCCTCCCTTCTCCCTCCTCTCTCCTCCCTCCTAACCCCCGCAGCTGCCGCTATCTTCGAGCAAGATAAAGCAGCTAGACCCTGACTCCCACAGTAGCAGATGGCATGCCAGGGAAAACGATGCGTCTGCTGGTGGCTTGCATGGCAGGAGGGGCATGCTTGCAGCTAAAGATTGAGACATGTTCTCGAGAGTTGGGAGGAGGAGGCGAGGATGTTCAGCAGAATCGGTACCTTCTGGGGATCAAACTACACTGCGGAAATAAAGTGGGACGTGACTCGGCAGAAGGGAGGAACCGCCCAGGAGCGGAGTAGCTAGGTCCTCCGACGCCCCAGAGGGGGGGGAGGACGACAAACGGCTATGAAGGAGGACTGCGTCAAACTTATCAGGACAAGGGGAAAGAATGAAGTGTGTACGGTTGCAGGCTGTCTGGTGGACATAAACGAAAAAGCTTGGGGTGTGGCGAAGCTGCAGGAGCTGCAGCCCATGCAGGCGTGGCGGAGGGCCGCGCCCGGCGGTAGGGCGGATGGAGCAAGAGCCTCTCCTGTCCACCCACAGGGGATCCCAACGGGCGCGGCCCCCAGTCGCGGCCAGGGAAACCTCACCCGTCGAGGCAGGGGTAGGGCTCTCGTGGGCGTAACTGGGGGCCACCCGTGGTTCCCCACCGGGTACGAGGAGGTTTTTGCGCCATCCGATGGCGGTGGCCCTTTTCTTTAGGGAAGGGTGGCTAGCCTCTCGGACCCCCCACACTCGTACCTAGTAGAACGACCCACCCCACTGTGGTGGCTCCTCGTGGCTGAGGTGTTACCGGACTGAGCTGCGCGACGGCCGCTACATGCGGCAGCGCGTCAGAAAGAGGGATGCGACGAGAACCAGGTGGTGATGGATCTAGGTGGTCCATGTCTGGTGGACATGTAAGGAAAAATTGAGGTCGTGGCGGCGTTGCAGCAGCTGCAGCATATGCCAGCGTGGCAGAGGGGCACGCTCTCCGCATGGCGGTGGCCCATTTGTGGAAGGGTGGCTAGCCTCTCGACCCCACCCCAAACCCCCATACCTCGCAAATCGACCTCCCCCACTGTGGTGGCTTCTCGTGGCTGAAGTGTCAAAGGACTGAACTGCTCGCGGGCCGCCGCCTGCGGCAACGCGTGCGAAAGAGGGACGCGGCAAGAGACAGGTGGCGAAAGATTCGCGTTGGGCAAAGCGGCAGGGAAGCGACTGACGACGGCACTACGTGAGTTGGGGGAGTGGCAGTGATAGAGGCATAGACAAACTGATGAGAAGAATTGTTAGGGCAGAGGTTGAGGAAGCGGTTGTCGCTGATGCCGCGGCCACCCTGACCCTTGCCAGGCCAGCCGGCGGCTATCAATGCCCCCGCCCCCGCATTCCCGCCCGCCCCGCCCCACAGTACTGGTCAAGGCGAAGGTTAGTGGGGATGGAGGTGGCGAATGTAATCCCATTGCCTCAACGTGGCTCCCTTCTGCTTGTGGGAGTCAATCTCGCGCATGTGCATCTCCACTTGTTGGGCGGAGCCGATCTCCGATCTCTGGAGCATGAGTGGCAGCTGGCCTTCTGTTTGTACGACTGGGTGTTGCACATGTTCCTGGTAGGGTGCCCTGTTGACGAGCACCTGCCGCACATGTCATTCGTGTTGCGCACGCTGTGCGTCCCGACCTCGCACTTGCCTTTCAACGTCAACGACTCCCTATTGGGATTGCCCCTGCCTGTCGCTTGCACGTGCCTCCCCTTGTCCCCTATCGGATAGAGGACAAGGGGAGACATGTTCGCCCCCCCTGGACACTCTGAACCTAACGTTTCGCATGGGCGATGTTAAAAAGGTCCAAACAACTCTTTAGAGACTCTGAGAGGGCCTCGATAGGGTTTCGTAGAGAGGGCCCTGTAGCTTGACATGGACATCATAACTCTGTCCCGTGGTGCGCGCGGCGCAGCATCGGGGATGGACAGACCCCCCTTTAGTAAAACGTGGTTTAGTGAAAGCGACCTGAGGCCCAAACCTGGCGGGCGCAAGCCTGGAAAATGACGGTCACGGCGCCCTCTCGAGAACCGAAAACGGACAATTCACTAATCGACGTGTCGCTGTTGGGGGTTCTGTCCACCCCCGACAGCAGCTGGCGCTCGTCGTGGGCCGTGCGCTCCACCCTCCGCCCGCGTGCCCCGCTGCTGCACGCAGGCCGCGCCGGCCCTCCGCGCGTCCGCCGAGCAGGCGTGGCTTCCGGTGCGCCGCAGGGCGCGTGTCTCTGACTGCCTACCAGACCACCCCAACCCAACCCGAAGACCCGAATCTGACCCGAATTTCGGGTTGGGGGGGGGTACGGCTTCCATGTGTTCTTGTCAACGTTCCCCGACCCCCCCCCCCACTGGAAATGGGAGGCAAATTGAGGGCTTCGGGTTGGGTTGGGGTGGTCTGGTGGGTGGTGGGTGTCTGTGCGCGTGTGTTTGTGCGCTCGTGTGCTTTCTCGGCTTCCTCGGTGCGCCTCCCTCCGTGCCCTCTGCGCACTCCCGAGGGCGCGGGCGGGGGCCGTGCCGCCACGGGGCCCTCGGAGCCTTCGGGTGAAGCCGCGCCGTGTCACCGATCCCCCCCCCCCCGTCCGCATCCGGGTCCCCCCCCCCCCTCCCATCACTCCAGCCTGGGGGATGCGCCCCTCGCAGCCCGAAGGGAGAACACACCACATGCCCCCGCCTGAGGGGGGGGGGGGGGAGTCGGCCAGGGGGGCACAGGCCCCGCCAGTGGGGTCAGGCACCGGTCAAGAGCTGCTCAGGGGAGGGGGAGGGGGGAGAGGTGATCCCGCCAGCACCGGCGGCCTCACCCACTCTGCGCTGCGCAGGCGCGGGCCCGCGGTGCAGCTCCAGGGCAGAGGCCCCGTGGCAGCAGGGCCGAGCTGGGGCGGCCCCCAGCGGGCGAGCGGGGCGGTCGGCGAGGTGCACGGCCGTCCCGAAGGGTGCCGATGGCTGCGCAGGTGGTGCGCGGCCAGCCTCCGCGTGGTCGCCGGAGCGGCAGCTGCGCGAGGGGTGGATGCCAACCCGGATCTCCGCCGCAGCGTCTGCCGCACCCTCCCTGCCTCGGGTCGTGAGTGGGTGGGCGGTCGCTGCAGCCATCCCAGATATTGCCTCCTGAGGGGCCTATCGTTGCAGCACTGGCGTACCCGGTCGGTCTTCCCGCCATGCGAGGCCAGCGGCGTGCGGCGATCGGCGGCACGCACGCTCGAAGCGCTCGATCTTCAGGCGGCCCTTGATGCGGACAGCTGCCTGGCAGCGCTCCTGCTGTGCCCTGTGGTCCCGTAAGGCAAATGAACAGCAGGTCGCGAATCGCGTCGGTCTGTGTGCCACAAGCCTTGACGTGCTGCACGGCGTCTCTTTCCAGCTGGTGTTTCGCCACCTCGCAGGCTGTCAGCCGATCTGCGCCCAGGCTGGAGCGTCACCACGTCTCTGGGATGCCACTGCATTTGGTCTCACCTCGGGGCCTTGGCGGATCCCGAGCTCGTGGGTCACCACGTGGCCCTCCCGTCCTGTCTGTCCTCCTTCTCATTCACGTCTTACTGTCATGCCACATCCACTGCACGGTTCGCGCGGCTGCCCTAAGAGGCAAAGGATCTTTCACACACGGCCGCTGCAGTTGACATTACGCGCGGCGCCTGGTCAAGCTCCGAGCATATTCAGCTGCTGCGATAACGGTGGTCACCAGGCATTCCTCTTCTGAGACGTTGGGCCTCCTTGCTGTCTCATTGCGAGCTGCTGTTAACTGGAGCATCGCCGACGTTAGTTGAATAAACTGAGTACCGCTCTGGTTGCGCTGTGGTTGGAGAGATGTAACAAGTCACCTGGCCCTCCCGTCCGTCGAGTATGGGGCAGAGCCGCTGTCAGAGTTGGCGGAGTTTATGCCAGCGTCTGATGACGCATGCCGCAGGCGATTTCTCGCAATCAATTCCCGAGATCCACAGCCAACTGGCCGTTTAGCAAAGAAGGGGAACTCAGGACTATCCGGACGCACCTCTATAGAGGATGGACGCCCCCCCGTCGTATATCCCGGAGTTGGGCCCCAAATGCTGGGTCCACTCGCCAGTCCAACAGAGTCTGGCATTGGGGCCGCTGTGCCCTCAGTATGCGACGTCGCGCGCGTGCTCGACGCCTCCGGCGCGCGATTCGCCGACTGCCCGGCGCCCAGCCCTGAGATCCGATGAGACGAACACATGGCAACATGCTGGACAATCACGGCCAGAGCCCCGGACCCCACCTTTCAGGTGTCGCTAGAAGTGCCCCTGGCCCAAGGTGCCCCCAGCTGTTCGCTTCATTTTGGGGCCCCTGGGGCCCTCTGGGCCTCGTGAGGGGT